CCCTCCCTCATCAGTTTTTTGGTCTTGATAGGATGATAAACTAATAATTTTTTTTATGGGGCCTAAAAGACAATCGATTAACAACAGTAAACTATCCACTCCTTCAAAACAAACCGCGCGAATTGAGCGGAAGTACGATCTGACCCTGTATCCCAGAACACATTGCGCATTATGATACTTTGGCGTGTTAGCCCTTGTAATGGTGTGTTGTATAAACGCCGACGTTTGGAGGATCGTCTCGGCTAGTGTAAACACATTCAAGGACGTGAATCCGTGTTCGTATTTAGTGTGTAGTATAAACACAGCCCTAGTACTGTATCTTATGTATGTTTGTAACAAAACTATAAGGTGATAAAAAAAAACCATGTACTGTACTGTACCTTGTTAGTGTAAATTTGTTGTTCTGGAACAACCTGCTATTTTCGAGTAGGTTTTATTGGTAGTATTGTAATTAAACCTCCCTGTTTTTTGTGTTAACTGCTATTGAGAAGGTTTGAGAAACAGTACACAGCAGTGGTCAATCAATTCAGACAATCGGTTTTAAAATGGACTTCACTTTTACAACAATGGCACACATATTTACTAACTTTCTTATACTGCAGTATTAGTTGGATTGCAGTGAGTGTCATGAGAAATCAGTTGTTATGACAAGAAGTTTTCCTTACTGAAGTTAACATATGTGGCAAAGACAAGCCAAACCAGTCACTCGTCGCAAAAAATCGATTTTGAGTTATTAATACAGTGTTAAAGAGTAAAATAAGAGCTATAAAATGGTGAAAGAATCATTTAAATCAGACATTTCATTATAGTAGTTACATACATACAGTTGTTTAATGAACAATATATGAGAAATCAGCCTTCAAAGTTTATGATTTCGGGCATTACTCATGCAGAAACTATCGTCAAATCATTAAAAAGTGTTGTTTTAGCATTGAAAATGGGGAAAGTAACAGCATAGCATGATGTACAGTATAGATATATAAAGGTTAGTTTAGCAATTAAATAGAATTTGACATTTCAGCAAGTTTTGGCCATTTTCTCTGAAACACGATTCGCGACGAGTGACTGGTTTGGCTTGTCTTTGCCACATATTTACTTTAGTTAGAGGATGTGGGTTGTCATCTAGTTTACATTTAATTTTCCTGTTTATGATGTCAGAATAAATATTTTTCATTTCTGGAACATACATTGAAACACATTCATTTCCTTAGGCGATACTTTTTATCTAATTTTAATTTTGCCAGGTAGGACGGTGACGCATGAGCGATTCTGTTCTAGCACAAATCGGAAGCCGAAAGTCATCTAGTTTACATTTAATTTTCCTGTTTATGTCAGAATAAATATTTTTCATTTCTGGAACATACAAACCTATTATTATCTTACTAGCGAACTATTATTTTACTCGCGATTTTATGTAGTTTACCTGCATTTTCCTTTGTTAGGCTATTGTACCATACAAGAAAACAGAAAGACATAGGCCTAATCGAAGTTGAATCATGGCCTGATTAAAAAGGAATATAGAGCTCCCTCTAATTAAAGATTCCTTCAATTAAAGACCACTTTTACGAAATGTCTTTTATCTTTATTATTCTAATTAGAGACCAAAGTTCCTATAGACCATGGAAACCCTGGTCCCAATTGTGGTCTTTAATTGGAGGGAGACCTGTAGTTGTATCACGGCCAACATTGAAACACATTCATTTCCTTAGGCGATACTTTTTATCTAATTTTAATTTTGCCAGGTAGGACGGTGACGCATGAGCGATTCTGTTCTAGCACAAATCGGAAGCTCCCTATTGGGTTGGTACACTACTCTACATACATGATGCCAGTCATGCAATTGGAATTGTAAAAATGAAGTTTTGTTATTAACTTTACGCAGCTTGTAACTTGTTATTTATTTGTGGGCCAAAACCTGGGCTAATTAAATTTATTGTGACAATGATATTCCTTGGTGGATCATGTTATATTACTGCTTGCACACATTTTTGATTGCCTAGGAATTTCCCAGCCGCTTGGCGCTATATCTATTAATTGAAAGCAAGTAAAAGAAGCACATGATGTATACCTTAAAAGAGAACTAGCAAAATGATGTTTTGTTCTAGAGAGGATTTTTGATATGCCATTAATAATAGAATCAACCTTAAAATCGTTCTTTGGCTATTTTTTTATGAAGTTATAGGCGATTACATACGATTTTACCATGACGTCACTGGCGAAAAAGTAACAAAAGATCGTGTAAATAGCGCCGCGTAGGGTATCCAAAGCGTAGGGTATCCACCGCGTACGATCTTTGCGTGCATGCTTTAACAATCACAATTTACAGCCATGGTTCGTACGAAAAATCGTACGCGGCGGATACCCTACATGGCGCTATTTACACGATCTTTTGTTACTTTTTCGCCAGTGACGTCATGGTAAAAACTTCATAAAAAAAAGCCAAAAAACGATTTTAAGGTTGATTCTATTATTAATGGCATATCAAAAATCCTCTCTAGAACAAAAAATCATTTTGCTAGTTCTCTTTTAATGCATCCCCAACCACAAACGATAAAGAGAGAAATTTTACTTATATGTGTGTTAGCCAGATTTTCGTAAATTTTATAAAATAAAGGGAAATAATAATAAAAAAAAAAAAATGAGGCAGAGAAAATGGATGCACAAGGGGATGAGGAACTAGTAATTTTTTTTATTTGGCCTTATACCTGTAGATTTAAAATCAATGTAGTAACAAATCCTGGTTCTTCCATCGTTTTCTATGTTGAAAAACAAAATCATTGATTGTTCATTGTCGGTGATTGTTATCACATACTATCTGAGTTAACTAATCAGTCAACAAGGACAATCTGTTGTTAGTGTTGAGAAAGCAATTTGCTGATGAACAGGTAGACAGAGACTAAGGTTAAAAGGTATGTAGCCTCGCTGACTAGTGAAGCTTTCCCATTCAAATCATCTGAAGAGAAATACTTAGTGATAATATTTGTGATTCGATTAAGAAGGCAGACTGTAGGTAGTGATTAAACTCTTAAGTAAAGTCAATACCAAAGTCAATCATTTACATTTGACATTGACACCACAAAACAAAGGGCTGAATTGGCTATTGCCTCTGCCTGTTTCTTTACTAAAATGATATTAAATTGGTCTTTTATATTAATTAAATTATTTTCTTTTCAACTGTATGTAAGTTCTTTTGCCCGATGCTGTAGCCAGCTATTGGGACAGTTGGGACAGTACCACACAATTTTTCTATTGGGGTCTACAAAGAATGGGTCCACATTTTAAAAATGGGTCCAGATTTCTCATATTTTGTTTAAAATGGGTCGACTTTTAAGAAAATGGGTCCAGATTTCTGATATTTTGCCTAAAATGGGTAAAT